GAAGACCTCATTAAAATTCTAGACGATTCCGTTCAGTAGTAATTATAAAAACCTTAAAAACATTTTTAAATTTGTCCCATAAGAATAACATTAGGAGCTACCTTCTTCTTCTTTTTATTTGTTTACGTTTTGCGACCAACAATTTTGTTGTCTACTTAAGACAGAGAGAACGACTTTTACTCTAAGCTATTTCATTCATGGAGTAAACAGTTTGGCGTCTATGAATATATATCATTATAATTTCACAGGTTTCAGAATAATGTTGTTTGAGTTAATTAAATTTCACAACTTTCTAAATAATAAATTGAACTTGAACTAGCCTACAATATTAATCGGCAGTTATATACCGTTTATGTTCAGTATTAAAATTCAACTTATATATATGTATATATTTAGAACAAAGCAGCTTTTTACATTATTCAATTTAATGTTAGCATTGAATATTAAATATTCAAAGATGTTAGTAATACTAAAATGCTATGCGAAGGGGGGGGGCGGAAACAGGTCCACGACGTAGAGAGTGGTAAAGGAAGCGGAAAGGTGAGCAGTGCGGAGTGTGGAAATCCTTTGTGACTGTTAAATTAAAATATCTGTAATACTAAAATGCTTTGGAAAGAGATAGAAACAGGTCTACGATGTAGGAAGTAGTCAAGGCGAGCGCTCCGGAGTGTCGAAAGCATTTGTGACAGTTATAATAATGTATCTACAATTCTAAAAACGCAATGGGAAGGGAGAGAAACAGGTCCACGACGTAGGAAGTGGTGAAGGAAGTAGTCGAGGCGAGCAGTCCGGAGTGTGGGAACCCTTTGTGACAGTTAGATTAATGGATCTGCAATGATAAAATGCTAAAGGAAGGGAGGGAAACAGGTCCACGACGTAGGAAGTGGTGAAAGAAGTAGTCAAGGCGAGCAGTCCGGAGTGTGGGAACCCGTTGTGACAGTTAGATTAATGGATCTGTAATAAAAAATGCTAAAGGAAGGGAGGGAAACAGGTCCACGACGTAGGAAGTACTGAAGGAAGTAGTCAAGGCGAGCAGTCCGGAGTGTGGGAACCCGTTGTGACAGTTAGATTATTGGATCTGTAATAAAAAAAATACTAAAGAAAGGGAGGGAAACAGGTCCGTGACGTAGGAAGTGGTGAAGGAAGTAGTCATGGCGAGCAGTCCGGAGTGTGGGAACCCTTTGTGACAGTTAGATTAATGGATCTGTAATAAAAAAAATGCTAAAGGAAGGGTTGGGAAACAGGTCCACGACGTAGGAAGTGGTGAAGGAAGTAGTCAAGGCGAGCAGTCCGGAGTGTGGGAACCCTTTGTGATGGTTAGATTAATGGTTCTGTAATTTAAAAAATGCTAAAGGAAGGGAGGGAAACAGGTCCACGACATAGGAAGTGGTGAAGGAAGTAGTCAAGGCGAGCATTCCGGAGTGTGGGAACCCTTTTTGACAGTTAGATTAATGTATCAGCAATAATAAAATGCTAAAGGAAGGGGGGGAAACAGGTCCACGACGTAGGAAGTGGTGAAGGAAGTAGTCAAGGTGAGCAGTCCGGAGTGTGGGAACCCTTTGTGATGATTAGATTAATGTATCTGCAATAATAAAATGCTAATGGAAGGGAGGGAAACAGGTCCACGACGTAGGAAGTGGTGAAGGAAGTAGTCAAGGCGAGCAGTCCGGAGTGTGGGAACCCGTTGTGACAGTTAGATTAATGGATCTGCAATACTGAAATACCATAGGAAGGGAGGGAAACATGTCCACGACGTAGGAAGTGGTGATGGAAGTAGTCAAGGCGAGCAGTCCGGAGTGTGGGGACCCTTTGTGACAGTTAGGTTAATGTACCTGCAATACTAAAATGCCATAGGAAGGGAGGGAAACATGTCTACGACGTAGGAAGTGGTGATGGAAGTATTTGAGGCGAGCAGTCCAGAGTGTGGGGACCCTTCATTAGTTAGATAAACATAAATATTGGATTTTTAACATTTTTAGATGATATAATTACGATATCGTTGTTTTAAATCATCATTGTAAGCCATACAATATTTTTAGGAGATTCCTTACATCGTGCTTTGGCAATTAGGTTAAGTTAGATTAGTTCAGTTTGGATTAGTTTTGTTTATGATAGGCCTTATAACAAATATGGAAATAGGCTTCATTTAATCAAAAGACAATTTGTACAGGAACGATGGATTTACCTCCTATCGATAACTGTTGGAAATCCATTACGTATATTACCAATGACTTTGGTTACTTAACGGATGAGAAGTTAGGATTGTCGTTGACTAAGATTTGGTTGATTTGACCATACAAATAACATTGTGTTCACCAGTGACACCGGTAAGTAGGCTAGGTGTGGGTGGACTCTTTCATTACTGCGCTCATGTTCACTCATCCCGTTACGCGCAGAATAAGCGTACTACTAGTCTAATAGTATCGATATTATTGATTAATACTTCCTCACAGGAAATATCACTCCTCCATATCATAATTTTTTGTATTATGAGACTAATTAAATGTCAATTAGTTGACATCAGCCCAATTTCACTTGTTGAGAGTATATCCTTCACATTGGGCCAATTAAAGCCTATATTAGGCATTATGTTTTTTCGTTATGCAAGTATTAGAGAGGTCTTTAAATGTGATGCTCTACACTGGAATGAAGCACAGTATAGATATGATCAAGGAAAGCTGCTCTAAACAAGACGAAATTTCATTAAGTTTCCATCCGCATGTTGAGTTTACCTGGCGACAACTTTCAGAAAATGAATTTTAAAAGATCTACTTAGCCATTTGAGATCCTTTATAGCGAATGCAATCTTTCAGAGAAACAAAACCTTTCTATGAAGAACAGCTCAAACTGCAGAAAACTAGATAGACGCGTGCTACAACCTAAGAATCAAATGCTGCAAATACTAAGCTTGGGCCAGTGTTGTTAGTGCTAATCGATGATGGAGTGGTCTATGGCCCCTTGGGCGTGATGGGCTTGGTGGACATGATGCATTGTACAAGGGCTGAAAGTAGGGGCCGGTTTTGCGTATAGATACATAGTTCTCTTATAGCATCAGGGTCATAACCGCCAGTCATCTGGTAGGTTCTGTTGACAAAGCTGATGACAACAACTTGAGAGTCGCTTGAAGGAGCTCATAATCTTCATCCAATGAGACTTTTGCTAACACATTAACTATGACAACAGTTATTTATTTAACTAAGGTTTAGTTAAAACTTAACTTATGGGGAATGCCCTATACCCTATGTCTTACACCTCAACTGCTTGTTTAAACACATTTTTGGACTGATAACATTTTATATCATTATTGGTGAGTATGTGGCTAATTTTTGTACTGTACTGGCTAGTGATGGTCAAAACCAGAAATTTCAAATTTCAAAACCGAAACTTAACTTTAAAAAAATTGAATCCTGAATCTCAAATCTTAAAACATAGACGCAAACATTTGTTTTCTTAGCTGGTTAAAAGGGTTAAGGTTACAAAAAATACAGGTAATAATGACATGTTAAGTATGCAATCAAATTAAAAGAGGTCAACTCCAGACACCGACATAATAACATAAATATATGTGACTGAAAACCCCAAAACAACATAATTTTTACAACATTCAAATAAATTTAGCTCCTGACACCAACATAAACATGAATATTAAACTAATTAGAACATTTAGTGGTCAATATTTATTTATTTGTGTTTATTACATATCGCTATGAAACTTGAGTTGTATCGTTGACTATTGGATACAGAAGTTATATTAATATTTGTTGTATTATTAGTCAAAGGTTGTATGTTGTTCCAATTATAGTATTTAAGATGCCTTTTGAAGTTCAGAATCAGAATGCAATTTACTGCTTTCATTTCTGTTAATGGTGATCTTGATCTGTCTGATCTATTGCTACCAGCTTGTGTGAAAAGTGGAAACAGTGTTAAACACATTAATAATGACGCAAAATAGCTGTTTCAAGAATAAAACTGCCAAATCTTCAATTTTGAAACTTTTGAATCTCGAAACTCGGTGATCGAATCTCAAAACCAAAACTTTTCCTAAGTTTTGATGGTTTTGAGATTTGAGATTCGGTTTTGAGTTTGACACATCGCTAGTACTGGCTCCCCCCATTCTTTGCTTAGTATGCTCCACAAAGAGCTCTGACAAAGCTGAGTTTAGCTCTTAAGGCCGGTGTACATGAGGCTATTATTAGCTGCTAATTAAATAGCGCTTATAAATTAGCCCTGTATAAACACTCCATTAGCAAAAATAATAACTAGCACGCTAGTATTCAACTCACTGCTAGTCTCTTTAACATGTTTGATAATACAAGCACTAGCAAGTGGGGAGGGTAGTCAAGTGACCACTAGCGCTAGTGAATTAGCGTGCCACTAGCGGGTTGTGTGCACTTCTAGGAGAGCGCTAGTGCTAATCACCACTCGCCAGGACCAGGACAGGACAGTCATAGCTTGTTTGTCAAGTAGAGTGATTGTAGACTGTTCTTCCACTGCCTGTTCTGTTAAAAGAGTATTAAAAACACTAAGAAGTTCTCGCCTAATCCCCTTTTGAACACTCAAAGTTCGTCGCTTTTTATTAAGTTTCTTTTCACACAACTCCTTGACATCAATTCTTAAAATTTGTCTCAAAACATTTGATTTAAATGAACAGATGACATTTGAAAACACTGAAATGACAACAACTGTGTCCACTGAACAGTAAAATTCAACAACTGACAAGAACTAAAATCAGCGCCAATAACTAGCCTTGTGTAGATGGAAATTTTTTATGCTAGTGTGCCCAGCTTTTGCTAATAGTGAATATTAGCTGCTAGTAAACCAGCTACGTGTACACTCTACACAGGCCTTTAGCTGTGCATGCTTTTAGCATGAATAGTAGTTCTGTAATTTGTTCCCTAGTTAAGAGTGAATCTTCGTATAAGAAGGGTTATATTTTCACCATCACCAACATTCTCAACAAACATTACACTGACATGCGCGAATCAAAGTGTATAACTCACTGATGCAGTGACACCGGCAGCGATGTAAAGGTTGCGCTTATGCTTGTTTGCATGTTCATACTTGTTGTACAGCTTTCTGCCGACCCACACAGGTATACCTGTGAAAAAATTACAATTTTATAAACAATTAGTTATAGAAATTATTTTAAATAATCTTTTGGGTATTTCTTTTAATAACGCCAAAAGGGAAACCCTCCTAACTAAGTTTCTTATTTAAAGTTAGCTGCTATTGTTCTCTGAAAATTTATATGTAGCCTAATAATTATAGTGGGTATATTATGAAGAATTTGTGGAACGTCATAAAAAGCCAAATTTCATAGTTTGTATATTAAAATTATTAGGCTATACTTTTGATTATTTGTATTTATAACCAATAACAAATAGTCATAGGTAAATTAAACAGCAACAGCAACCTCTATAAAACAATTGTCTGTAACACAGGCCACAGAAAATTGAAACAGTACATCCTCTAAACAGAAAAACTATAGTTCGGCCGCTTAGAAAACGACTTGCGCGCTAATGCTAAACTAATGCTGGAGGAGGTCGCTTTCTAAGCGGCCGAACTATAGTTTCATAATACCATTGACTATTGGATACTGAAGTAGACTTCTCAATGGACCAGCTGTAGCCAATTTTTTTATCAAAAAAGAACGTAGTTGTGTGAGCTAGTCACAGAATGCACTAGTGTCTAAAATTATATTTTATACCTTATTTTTTGTTGCTGACCAGATTGATGGGTCATAACAGTTGCTATAACTCATCATAAGTCCTAAGTTTGATCCTCATCCATAAGTCCTCATCCTAAGTTTGACTTGGTAAAAAGGATTGTGTATTCAACAGAATTTAGTTATTAAGATCAGCACAATCTGTAGGAGGCTTACATCAACTACGCCGATTTTGATAAAAAATCTGGCTACAAATGTAACATGGGGATGGAATGTCTAGATGTACAGGGTAATTCAAAAAGGACTTTACAACTTTGAAAATTCATATAAATCTTATTTAACAAGGTACAGAGCTGGTTTTGGTGTTGTTTTAAAGGAAAACACTTCAAGTTTTTTTACCTTAAACTAAAGATGTTCTATGTGACTTCTGTTGGATTTGGGGAAAATAATTATTTAGGTATGAAAAAATAGTGAAAACCGTTAAAAGTTTGAGAGAAATTTACAAAATTTTGAAAGTAGGGCGTTTTTTTACCATGAAGGAGTGTGATTTTCGAAAAACGCATAATAGTGTCTTGTAGGAAATTTAATTCCGAACCTACGTTTTTTCCTCAAATCTTTTCTAGCTCTTACCGTTTTTGAGCTATAGCCGTTTAAAAAAAACGTGTTTTGTCGTTTTTAGAGGTCCGCCATTTTGGATTTTTGGGGGGTTTAAAATTTAAAAATGCGACTTTTTGGAATTTTATGGGTGGTTTGGAACCAAGAACTACAAGTGTGCGAAATTTTAACTCCATAGCACATCTAGGAGTGGGTGTATCGCACTCCTTCACCGTCAAAAAACGCCCTACTTTCAAAATTTTGTAATCCTTCTAAAATTTTTAACGGTTTTCACTATTTTTTCATACCTAAATAATTATTTTTCCCAAATCCAACGGAAGTCGCATAGAACATCTTTAGTTTAAGGTAAAAAAACTTGAAGTGTTTTCCTTTAAAACAACACCAAAACCAGCTCTGTACCTTGTTTAATAAGATTTATATGAATTTTCAAAGTTGTAAAGTCCTTTTTGAATCACCCTGTATTATTAGTCAAAGATAATACCAAATGTAAACATTAATATTTAAAGGAGTATTGTCTATAATCTAAAAGGCAATATATGCAGTGCACACTGACCTATTATGATGGCAGGGACAGCGATGCCAGCAACCAAGCCGATGCCAACAGGTGCCCCGACCAGGGTTCCCAACTGCCATAATATTTTCTTCTTCCGTGACCAAGGCTTCTTTCCCCAGAATGTGCAACCTGACGGGCTGAAACAGAAAAGTTTATGCTTAAAATATTTAATTTTGTAATATTGCATTAATATTAATGGGCCTTTTTCTCTCTCGAGAATTCTTTTTATTCACACCGTCCAAACAATTGTGGTTCAACTTATTTTGGGAATCAAAGGAATTTGACTTTCTATGAATGGCTAAACAAATGTCATATGCATTACTCCTTAAAGAACAAGTTCATGATTCACTTTTAGTTTAACAAACCATCAACACCATCATCAAATGGATGACGATGAAATCTATGGTCTCTAACTTTCCGGCATAATTTTGAACATCTCTTGTGTTTACAGAAACTTTATTGTCATTTTTTCATAGACACATATTCTTTGTAGACACATTCTACGATCATAGTAGCTTAGCTTGAGCTCAATTCTGACTTGGTGTCCAATCTCCCGATTTTGTAGGTTAGACTCAGCTCGGCTTGAAAATCGAGCTGCTCGCTCCCTCTACTATAATATTGTTAAATTTCATTATTCTTAATCTTTTTAATAAGATTAATATTTTATAAGCATTTACCGATTCTCAATTAGATTACTGGTCTTTCCTCAGTTTGTCTCAAAGCATAGGAGTAGATACCTGAGATAATGCAGGTCAGTGATCTCCTTCATACAGAGCCAACAGAACTCTGTTCCACAGACTGCGCAGGTCATGTGATTGCAACTTCCATCATCCATCTTGACTATCAACACTTGACAGCTGGGGCAGGGCTTGATGTCATCTCCTGTCAAACATGTGTTAAGTGTACAGCTTTAGCCAACTAGCCTAGTGCAGATTTTGTGTGATAAGGGTAGAATACACCAAACACAAGTCTCGGATTGTCCAGCTCTAGTGTTGAGAAATTACAAGAAAAGATGACCATGAGGTCGTAGGAAATAAAGAGAAATGGGTGTCCTGCAGCAGTTACGATATCAAACAGCCTAAAGCTGATGGACTGATAAGGGTGCTACAAAATGCCAAAGGTTGAAGTAGCAAGAAGTAGTAAGAACACAAACTCCCCCCACAACCAAAAAAACATGTATTATTTTGGTCCAATACAGTAACCTATACGTATAAACATTGCCAGCTGTGTAAGATGTTAAAACTATTCAACAAACGTAAATGATTTAAGTTGGAGCTTCAGTGGGTAACATAAAGTACTGCAAAACTATGACTGCTATGTTGTGGGCTCCTGACTTGGAGCCGCAGTTGTAAGGCCGTAAGCCCAAATGGCACTTTGTTGGATTATAATAGATTTGCCTAAAGGTTATACCTATGCAATATTGTCTTACAAGTACGACTCGACTGTTTATAAAAAAAAAATTGGACTGATAACATTTTATATTATCATTCATTAGTGAGTCTGTGGCTCATTTTTGTACTGTACTGGCTCTCCCCATTCTTTGCTTGATATGTTCCACAAACAGCTCTGACAACCATTAAAAAAATTTGGTAGTCCAGCGGTACCTCCCAATTGTATGTAACTTACAACGGCTCAAGCAACATAAAATTACCAAAAGTACAGCTTGTATCTAAGAAATTTGATTCTCTTAGTCCCTTACTGGACCTAATAAATTTACTGGGTTGTAAATTATTACAAGTACAAAAATAAAAGTAATGTTAGGAGAATTTATTTAGGATTATTTTCTTTTATCAATAAAGGTTGAAATTTGAGGACAAGTATTAAAGGCAGGCATTGATAGAGATCTAAGAGAATTATTAAACAATTTAAGTTTGGATCAAATTAAATACCCGTAGGCTAATTTATTGACACAAAACACATTATACTGTCTACATCAGCAACTCAGATGTGGTCTCAATTTATAATATTTACTTGTTTTCAAAGATTCAAAGGCAGTAGATTATTACAGATGTAATAACGATGAAAAATTAAAAAAGTGCTTGCTTTTTAAATATTTTGGATTCTAACACCTTTTTGAACAAGTAAACATTTTTATACATCTAATAAAACTTAACATTGTTTTTTAACTATGGAAAGCTATATTTTAAAAGTTGCAGGTATTTGTAGTAGAAATGATAATTTCAGAACTACATTAATTGTTTATCAGTAGCAATATCTTAATTCTCTGTGAAACCATAAACATGTTTTTGTTGTTCAAGTTATTTGTTTAGTAAGGACACTGTAACAATTCACTGACTTTAGTTACTGGCAGCATTGATAATTATTTTCACTGTAAGGTCTAATAAAGCATACACAGTTTGGTTTAGGCCTACAGTAGACTCTTGATAATTCGAAATTGGTGGGCCAAGCATATAAATTTGAATTATCAAGAGTTTTGAATTATCAAGAGTTTGATTTATCGGGAGAAAAATAAACCATTCGAATTACAGAGAGTTCATTTGTTTAGAACATACAAAGGTACAGCACGTTACAATAAAACATCATACCGTATTTTAGTACACAATCAACGGCTTATTTTTCAGTTACTGGACGTTGCAAAGAAATCTTTTATTTAGCGCTATATATTTCGCGAATAGCTGAACTATCAGCTGTCGACAACTACATTTGTGCTCAAGGAGATGTCGCGCAATCTAGAGATCGGATTGCCAACTTATAAAAAACAAGTCAACGAACTAACTCAGACTACTGCTCTAACTAAACAAACATCAAAACGTCCAACACTAGCCTACCATGGGAACAGGATGCACTGTACTGTATAGTTTCCTGTTCCAGTACCGTATTTTAGTACACAATCAACGGCTTATTTTTCAGTTACTGTTGTTGCAAAGAAATCTGTTATTTAGCGCTATATATTTCGCCAATAGCTGAACTATCAGCTGTCGACAACTACATTTGTGCTCAAGGAGATGTCGCGCAATCTAGAGATCGGATTGCCAACTTATAAAAAACAAGTCAGCGAACTAACTCAGACTACTGCTCCAACTAAACAAACATCAAAACGTCCAACACTAGCCTACCATGGGAACAGGATGTACTGTACTGTATAGTTTCCTGTTATAACAGGAAGAGATCACTTCGAATTATAGAGTGTTTTGCCGACTAAACTTCGAATTACTGCGTGACTTTGATTTATAGAGTGTTTTTTCCACGAAACTTCGAATTACAGCATGACTTCGAATTATAGAGTGTTAACCGATGAAACTTCGAATTACTGAGTTACTTCGAATTATAGAGTGTTTTTCCGACGAAACTTCGAATTACTGCGTGTTACAAATTGACCTGCCCTCTATTTGGACTTTGAAATACCGAGTGTATCAAAATGCATGGTAAAAATTTGAATTATTGAGAGATTCTCTAGGGACTGAGCCTTCATTTTGAATTATCGAAAGTTTTGAATTATCAAGTGTTTGAATTACCAAGAGTGGACTGTATATTAAAAATATACAAGAGGCAATCATCCAATAAACCTTTCTATGGACTACATACATTTTTTACTATAAAATATTATTACAAAATATTCATGGATAATGCAAATAAAATATTTTACTACTGACGTAGAAACATTAGCTTTTAAAACCACAGTTAACCCTCCAAGTGTTTCTAGTTTTGGTCTTAATGTTCGCCCATTTATTGCGCAAACACAGGGTTTTATTAAAATGTATCTTAGAAACTTAAAAACAATGTAAAGTATACTATTTTATATATCATTTTGTTTGGAAAATTATGGGCTTCAATGTAACATATAAAACAATACAAAAAAAAAATGTTCAACAATTTTTGTGGGGTTAGCATTTCTCAAAAATTATAAAATAAATGAAAAAAATTTATGTTTGCGCTCAATAAATTGTTATAATTTATAGGTCTACAAATATTTTAAAATAGCCACTTTGTTCAGAATTTTATGAGGATTCCAAAAATATAATAATATAAGGAAGTAGGTTTGCAAATAAATAAGTTATGGGCAAAAAACAGATTTCGGTACATAGTGTTTAGCTAAGAATGCATATAGCCTAACCATAGCTAGGAATCTGGCTGATAATTTACATCAATATCACTACCTACTTCTTCAGGATCATCAACCAGCCCTTCAAAATCACTTAAATCTTCTTATAATGCACCACGTACATCACTACTAACGTAATAAAACATTCAGTCATCGGTGCGAGGTTAACCAAGCTGTTTACAAATATGCACGTCAGCTGTCTGCTACAATATTTTTGGAACTAAAATGAAAAGCGTATAGAAACAGACATCAGGAGAAAGCTCTGAATCTGCTGAAAAAAACTATACCTAACTCGATCCAGTTCAATCCGATTCAGTCAGTCCCAGAGCCGTCGCCGTAAACAGTGTTTGTGAGTCGCAAAAGCGACACATAACACTACAGCGGATGTGTTACGAGTCGCTTTTACGACACATAACACTAGGAGGGTTAATATTAGTGGCAATACTGGCAATATGCAGTATCATCCAGAACAAGTTTTTTGTGTTTTGTAAAAGAGAGCAACGAAGCTTGTTTTTTTTTATAAAACAATATTGGACTGAAGAAAATGTGTGTTTCTCCACAAATCAATCTTTCTCCATTTATCTGCATACCTGTTCATGAATATTTCACTTATTGTGATAAACACCACAAATAGACTTACTGTGCTGGGAGTCCTGACTGAAGGAGACGGAGGAAGACCTGACGTTGGGAGAGCGCTGAGCTCGAGCTGCGTCACACGTCTGGTTGGGATGCCATGCAGCTTTGCAGTGGTAGCAGAAGTACGAGTCACAGCCCGGCCTCTCACACTTAATCTTGGGACAACTGGCACAGCCTGCAGCGATCACTGCATAACTGGAATATGACAGCTGCGTTTTAGAATACTAAAATAAGTGTCTTGTTTATAGAGGACAGAAATGAATTAAAGGAACAAAAGAGAAAGGAATTAAGAAAAATAGAAAGTAAAAAATATTCTAAAGATTCTAGTGTTTTGATGCTAGGTAAGTAAAGAGGTATCCTGGTGGGCACAGAGAAAGTACCTGTTTAGAATAAAGGATAGAAGTTATGAAAAGAAATAGGAAGATTGTTAAGGAAAGTGGTTTGATGAGCAACTTTTCAACTTAAACCAGGAGTGAAGGAGGGAAGATAGGCTGCAGCCAACCAACTTATGTCTGCTTACATTAGTGATAGGCCTAGAATAAATGACTTAGGTGTTTTAAGATTTTTTTTTAATTATGGTAACATCCAGAAATTTAAATGTTAAAATTCCAAGGTTGCATCCTAAAAAGCTTCCTATCTCTAATACAAGTCCAATTCATACAGACTAAAATATAGAATCTACTGCTAACTTTTATTTACTTTATTTTGATTTTGAACTAATTATACTTGAACTTATAATTATGATTTTCTAAGCATTTTACACCTGGACGATAGCAAATTTGAGATTGTCTTGTACGATTGGGTTAACATTTGTGAGCATCTCTTGGGATCATGGCGACATTGTACCGATTTTCCACAATTGTGATGATTTAATAAGATCCTCATACCCCCAAAACATTATTAAAAATTAAAATTCAATTTGTATTAACTGAATGCAAGAAAGAAAACATAAATTTAAAAATATACCTGATTATAATTACTTGAACTAACAAATTCCATTACCTGTCTAACTGTCTTTAATGAAACAATTTTTCCTACCACTGTGCATGGAAATTATCACACCGCCATACAGCCATACTGTTTATGTAATTGTTAACAGTATGCAAAATAGCTCATTTCCGCTCACTAAATCAACTGATTTCACAGTTCGCGTTTTTACAGTGACCACAGCCAGGTGCGTTTTACAAGTTATTTTTTTCTTTTTTGTAATTGTTTGTAAAAGTGTTTTTCACAAAGCCGGTACCTGAACAACTGGTTAGCAAATAACATAATCTAAAATAAGCAAACATACCCTTAATGACATTTTCTACAACTCAAAAGTTATCTATGTGTATGGTAAGTTAATTATGGTGTAGGAAAGGTTTTGTGTGTATTACGAGCACAAACAGTCATTGCCGCTCTCAAAAGTTATGGCTGCACTCAACTAAAGCTTCGTGGGGCTATCTACAATTTTCAAACGGTAATGATGTACTTGGTGCTCTTAATAAACAATAATAGCTATGCTAGATTTAAGATTCATTTTGATAAGTATTAGTTGGTTTTTTTCCGAACAAACATTGATAAAGCACAAAGTTAGTCTACAGTCCTCCAAAACAAAACCTAAACTGCTTATTCACGTTTAGTCTAAAAACCGTTTGACAAACATTTAAGGAGTTTAGATGACTTTCCAATCACTAACCTCACTTTTTTCATAACTGTTTTGAATTTTTACTTTTTTATACCAAACGCCAAATATAAATCCAAAAAATCACACCAAACTTAAATCAATGCATTCTAATGTATCAAGTAAAATTAATTAACTGTTATTTCTCCTTTATACAGTTTTTCCTATAATTTATTCTTTCAATACTAAAAGGTTCAACATTTGAAATGCTCTGTATTCTATAACTTACCAACAGTCAGGGGCAGGGCACCAACGTGTGTCTGGGTCCACAGCTAACACTCTCCTTACCATGAAGTCTTCGTACTTTTCATACTGCAGCTTGTCATTCAAAATCATTCGGATATCTAAAAAAATAAATCCATGAAAAGTCAAAGTCGCAACTCAGAAAAGTTTTTAGTGAAGTAAAAATCCTACACTGCAGTAGACACTTCCTAATGTGGCATAGTTTTGGACTGTGACGTGCCAGATTACCAAATTACTTAGCACTGTCTAAAAAAAAGGTTTCATTGTGAGGGTAGCAGAAATACCATTAAAATTCAGACAAAAGAGTTATTCAATCAAGCTAAAGAATCCCAGTCTCGCATGTGCTAAAACGGCTGCTCTCAAGGAAAAGCAGCAAGACTCCAGAGCAAAATACAATCCAAATTTCAAAGCTACCATCATGGGGACTTTCTAATTTAATGGCTATTTATTTTTACCGTTTCTTTAAAGAGATCTACATAAGGTAGTAACAAAGTAACAAAGCCTTTAAATAAAGTATTATTTGAATAGAATACCAGTGTTAAATAAGTTATCCTTTCAGATTCAGTTTAACTTTGTTTAAAAGTTCAGGCTTCTCTGTCAGTGGTTCTATTCAACTACTTTTTTATTCTAAAACTGACTACAACTTCAACATTAAAAAGTTGTACTGACCGTTAGGATGCATCGGCTCCGAACACTCGGGACAAGCGACACTGATTCTACTCTCGGAGATCTCGATGCGCAGATATTGCTGGAAGCAGTCGTAACAGGATCGGTGAGCGCAGGTAGACAGCCTAGGGAAGTACTCTAAAGGGAGTTCCGCGAGACACAACGGACACTCGGCCAGACCAGTGTCTCGAGAGACCGAGGGACGACTGGCTGCAGCTCCAGGCGGAGTCCATCCTCCAGGCTGTGATTCTGAAGCAGGTTCACAGCTCTCTTTGGCTGAAGAAAATATTTATACATTGTTGTTATAGTCATTGATAATTTTGTGTAATTATGTTAGTATTTAGAGCTTGGCATGAAAGTGAAGTGAAATAACACTAGAATAAACCCACTGAAGTAATTTATAAGTGCATGCATGAACTGCTTCAATGTAAATGTCTAACTCAGGTGTAAATAAATGTAAAAGGCGATTGTTTATTATATGACACATTGTCTGAGTTTAAACCCCTCAGTCACAAGACCGAGTCTTGACACAGCTTATTTAATTAACAGTCAGCCTATTGATAAACAAAGAAGGGGAAACATCAAATAATTGTAATTTCCCTTCTGTGTGCGGTGCTGTATACATTCCACAGTATAGTTTTGCTAAGAACTGGTTTATATACATAACAATCATTATTGTTGTAACAGATAGATTTTGCAGGTACACTAGGATTTGTTATTTGAAAAACATTCTCAATAATTACTTTTTCATAGTAGAGTATTTTGTATATCTCATTTCATATTATACACAAAAATATATAACTTAGTCACTTTTATTGAGCAAATTTTAAAATCCATTTTCATGTCACAAAAAAAACTATTGCACTGGTCTAAAAAATATGAATTGGTTTACTTCTGATTTATAACCGCTTTTGTACCCAATGGATAAAGTAATTTATTAAAAGATCAATTAATTGAAAGGAAAATAAAAAAACGTTCTTTGAATACCAATAAAGAGATTTAAGTATGTGATTGACTAAATAGAGTGATGTACACCAACACTTCTAAAAATCAGACAACTCCCAGTAACCATTAAAACTTCTCTCCCTCTTGGATGAGTAGCATGAAATCTAATGATACAATGTTGTATTAAACCCTGTGATTAACCTGGGAAGCTTATATCAGATTTATTCCTTTGTATCTCAACACTTAACTGTCCCTCTACAAATCTTGGAAAGATGTCTTTCTAACTGAAACTTCAATGAGAAGCAAATGTTGACTGCCTTGTATTTGGAAATACAGTAATTCATTATCATGATGACCTTCATGTGAAGATAAGTGTTTTACTGTTGCATGCATAACACAAGTAGGCCTATTCAAATTTAACAGTATTGGTTGGCAATAAAAGGCTTCTCCTATAACAATTTTATGGATGGCCATGTGGTTAGAGTCCTCATCTTCGAATCTGATGTTCATTCCCCAGGGGGCTTGATTTTCTGGTCCCAGATGCAATTGTCAGAGGATAAAATAATTATGGTGTTAACACAAGTTTGGGTTGGGACTGTTAAAACCCCTTAATAATTCTTATGGTGTTGAAACACAGAAAAGAAAAATATTTATTGAACTTTAAAGTAAGGATTTCTCAAGAATAAAAGTGCTGTCACATTTTTAATCAGACTGAAATCAATGAAGGATTGTAGATTTAGTCTCAAGCTCTAACCACTAGGCCAGCCACTTTAAACATAATTGGTGTTAGTAAAAATATTTAATTCATTGACTTACTTAGTGCTCGATTTGTAAAATAATGAGGTGCCGGAAATGTAACCTATTTAATAGTACCTATTTATTCCAATATTTTTATTTTTCCAAAAGAGAGGTAGCGGAACGCCGTTCAGCCACAAATCGAGCACTGGTCTTACTTCTTTCAAAGAAGATGTCGTACTTGTTGTAATTTTAAATAATAGTGAATATAAAATTTGCTATGATGATATAGAAAATAAGTTCTGTCGGACTAAAGATTTTAAAAGTTTTTGAATTTAAAATTCTTCACTTCAACACCTATTTTATGAAGGCCAAGCCTAAAAATGTTTATAAACTTTTCTAACCATAACACAGACAATGGATAGGCTAAAGGAAGAACCCACAAATCATTGGTGCTTCTGTCTAAATCAAATCGGATAAATTTCTTTTGATATATTTTTAAAACTTGAAAAATTTTATTTTTAGTAATAATTGTGTCTTTTGGCAAATATACAGTACGTATCACTACTATCAAAATAATAAATGCATATAATTTGTTTTAGGTAAACAAACTAGTTGCCCTACCTAATACAGCCACAGAGGATATTCTAATAGCCCAAATATTTAAAAAGTCTTGGCTGCCTTTCCCTGAGAGGAATGTTGATTTTTGGAGAAAGACGGTGTTACAGGTAGCCTAGTCTTGTTTTTCTGATGCTATTTCTAATCAGGTTGTTATAAATTTACATATTTAACGTAACGACTAGAGGAATGACATCAAACATGTGAAACCGTGCATCTTTTATAAATTAGCAGTATTTATTCAAAAACTATTAAAAATTAAAATATATGAACTTTTTTGTTAACAGAAAAATATGTATATTTCTTATTTTTCGAACAAGAGGCCACCGGATATCTTGAACTGCAATGAAAGTTTTAAAGTAAAAAAATTGGACCTTGAAGAGGTATAAAATTGGGGGGGGGGGGGGGGGTATAAAACCTCCCTAAACACAATGTATGACAGAACTTGTAAATTATGATTATAACTATGTCAGCTGTATAATTATTAAGCTATTGCATTTTGCTGACCTCGAGAACGTCAATAAAACACTGTCACAACTTCATTTTAACATTGAACTAATGACGACAGATCTCGATATGTATTTCTATGTATATTTATATATACCTTTAAGTAAGAACAAGCATTGTGCGATGTGATTTATGTAAAATTAGTATGGAAGATGAACTGTCATCAATTTCAGACCAAAGTGATGAATAAATCTGTATCCAGGGCTAATTCCGATTTTATTATGTTGAGTTAGTTGGATTTATTTAAAATTGATTTAAAACCAATCATTGTACCATTTACGAATAATCTTATTATTTTTGGTTACAAAGGGCACTCAAAAATTAGTAATGTTACTATAATTTAGAATAGGAGAAAATAATATTGTATCAAGGTTACCTAAATGGAACGTTAAATGATCATAGCTATTACCGAGAAGTTTAAGAGTTAAGCCAGCTAAACAAACCTACAGTCAGTGGAACAAATAAGTACGCAGCCTGAGGTGGTAAACAAGCAGCAAATGTTTACAAGTGTACAACATAGGTGTTGTTGAAGGCCGACAGCTCCAAGCCCTAACACTACTGCTTATTTTTAAACGTTGTTGTGAGTTAACAAGTTCCGTTACACTTTTACAGCTAACGACCTTGAAAATAAAACTGGATCCCGATCTCCAGCTGTTTAAATGTTCAGAAATAGTAGCTTGTTATATTAATACTAACATTAATGAAATATGACAATCTGTGAGTTTATGTTTTGCAATAAAGTTAAATCTACTAGTTTCAAACCAGCTTACAACACATACAATTTGGTTGAAAAATATATCAATAACCAAGCAAACTACAACACTCTGCATAAAAATAACGAGGGAATTATAAATTAAAATTTTTTTAAATATCTACATAACCATTAGGCATATAACAACTCTTCATTATACTAAATTATTCCTTTTTTAAGCTCTAAAAAATGGTTTGGAAAGAAATTGTGAAATTTTATGTTTTTTGGGAAAAAAATAGAAAAGACAATTTTATTCCATAAACCCCCCCCCCCCCATCAACCCCGTTCCATAATCTGATCATGCTGGTTCGCAAACTCGTTCGAATAAATGTAGGTTTATCTTGCACGTTTTTACAAAATTTCATAATTTTTGCTCGAGGTATTTTGCTGACACACACTAATACATAATATATATATACATACACACATATAATAATGTCTGTATATATATGGTGATTGTCTGAATATATATGTATTGTTCTTGAGGATTTATTGAGAGAATTATAAAAAATTAAACATGAAAAATGAAAATTTTCGTTAAATACAAATAAAATGTAGATATATCCAAAAATCATAACCAAAGTTTAAGTTTATCTAAAAAAAATTTAAAAAAAAACACAAAATATTAAACCTGGTATTAAGTTACAGTGATAAAGGTTAAGGCCTCATATAAAGTTCACAAAAATTATTCAAGTTGTCTCTGCTGAATGTCTTTTCTGGTAAACAAGTTTTTAGATATGCTAATAGCTTGAGACAAGTCCTTGCTTGAGATCAAGGACACATAAAACTCTGGATTCCTTAATAAGCATTCCAGTTAGTCTACCTGATGTTGCATAACCAAACGGCCCCACAATGTAACATTGGTCCAAAAATAAAAGACATAAAATTTAGTTTGGACTTTTTACCTTAAAAAATATATTTTTAAATGAACAAAAACAACAAGAATTTTAAACTACTGTATTTTATTTCTAAGCCTAGGCTCTAGTGTGTTTAAGACAAAAACAAGTCTAGTTTTAAGTAGATTTTCCCTGTTTTTCTCATATGACAGAAATAACGTTTGATATTGAACAGAATCTCTCTAACTAATGACCAAGGCTGAAAAAATAAACAACTTGACTGGTATTGACCCCTTGGGGTGGAATTAACAGAACAGATTGGATGCGTAGGTGAAAGGTGCCTGACAAACTTTGGTATACTTAATTATACATTATAATGTTTATAGGTAGACCTACAATAAATGGTGTTGCTGATGAAATAATGATATTTTACAACTTACGATGAAATAACGATATTTCACTACCAATGAAGATATTCAGATTAGTGAGCGATATGATTGGCATTGAAATCTTAATTTTGTATTAAGTCATTACAACTTAATCACACTTTATATTTTATTTTATTTCCACTTTCATAATTTAAACTAAACAATTCCATCTAAAAAATACTAGTCTTTATTTTTTTTTTATCAAACTAAACAACTGACTGTTTTTATTACTCTCAAGTAATGAAGACTGTTCCTGTATAGATGGAAGTTTTCTGTAATTCTCTCATTATTGCTCAGTACTACAAAGCCAAAAAACCAGAATGTGCAGTTATGGCAATGTATAGAACACAATTAATATACAATAAGTAGCATGGAATTACAAGTTTTCTTTTCCAAAAAGCTGTTTCAAACTAAGATGAGAGAATCTCATAAGTATCATTCACAATACTTCTGCCACAGCAAACCTGTAGACTAAGCGAATTTCAATTTGTCTCATTAGATATTAACTAAAAAGAAATATTATGATAAAAAAGTCATTTATTTCCCATTAAATAACATAAGATTTCACAAGTAACTTACATACGTTTGCCGCTCCGGGAAGGGGTAGTGTTTTTTTTTTATAAAGTGATACAGATAAAAATTTGATAAAAAAACAAACTACAACAGTTTTCTTTCCTTCATAAGATTAACATTGGAATCCTAAATTTACAGTGATTTTGGGAATTTTCTCCGTTACAACCTCTAATCGTACACTTCAATATGGACTATATTGCGTTTTTTAAGCTCTACACAATGGTAATGAATATAGAATTTTATATTTTCATGTTTTAAGGGTAAAAATAAAGGGACAAATTTTTGCAAAAGTTCAAAACCCTGTTCCAGATTTTGCTGGTTTGTTCTACAGCTTCATTCCAAATTTCAATTAAATCAGACCAAAATTACCTGAGTTAACTGTTTACGACACACCATATAAATTTATCTTACTATATAATATTATAAATGTGAAAGTTTGTGTGTTTGTTTGTTTGTAAGTTTGTTTGTTTGTTTGAAGTTCAATCACACATTAACTACTGGACGGATTGGGCTGAAATTTGGCATGATGATAGTTCACATTCCCGATTAACAAATAGGCATATTCCTATCTCAAAATCTTTTAGGGTTCCGCCACAGTGGCTCTGTAGTTCCCCATGTTAACCTTATGAGTATTCATATTTAAAGGGAGTTAAAGAATTTAGTCAGCTGTTTCAACTAAAAAAGGTGGTTCTATGATATCCAAAGCATTAAAAAGTTATAAGATTTACCAAGAGGGTGCAGCACTATTTTTTTTCATTTATGAAAACAACTAATTTGAACTAAGCCGCAACAAAAAAACTGTGATACACAATGAGAACTGTCAAAGTAGGATTGTTTACAATTATGTTTATGTTTTAAATTAATGAATAATTTGTGATATTTTGCGAATTTTTAATAATTTATTTTTCTCTATTGTTTAAGTAAAGTGGTAGAACATTATGGCTATGGTTGATGTGTAACACTATAGTATACCGTAAATTTAAAGAAGCAAATTTTATCAAACTGTGTCCTCCCTCCATTGCAAACGCAAAACTCGAGTATAACTGCAATAAGAATTTTTTACTTATATGCCAACCCCGTACGAAGGACGGGTACTCTGCTAGTAATTATATAAATAATGGTAAGTAATTTTTTTATTTCTTTTTTCATTCAATAAATATTAACAATTCATTCTATAGGCCTACATATAACAAATTGAACACATTTTTTGGCCTCTGTGACATCAAAAAGAAAAAGTATCCAAGGTCCAAATTTAGTTTTTAAATGATTAAGAGTTATGTTCCAAAAGTGTAAAAAACATTACCTGGCTGTTTAGACTGGCGAGACGTGGCTGAGGCAGCTCGTATCCTGCGCGCCAACAGAGGACTCGAGTATAGCAGACGTCTGAGAGAGAACCGGGCAAGTCCTCGCTTGGGAGCGCCAGACGAACACGTTGAGTGTGTGTCTGAACTGTCATTGCCAGACTTCCGCATTGTTCCTGCAACAATACCGGTACCATTGAACGATGAAACAGCTGGGCTGAAACTTCTTGCATTGTCACCCTCAAATAGTAAATACAGTAGAGTCCCGTTAGTCCGAAATGGTTGGGGCCGGGCCCATTTCGGATTACCGAATATTTCGGATTAAACTATTTTTTGTTTTTTTTTACTTGTTTGAAATTAAAAAAAATTAAGTTTTATTTTTTTGAATTTTTTGGGATTGTTTTTCAGATTACTTAAGACTAGACCTAGTGGCTGCAGCATTATCACTTCATAAAATCCATTTGTGATTTGGTGGGATTGGAACCCGGGACGAAAATGAAAAATGTTAATAACAATAATGGTGAAATATTTACTAAAATACTCTATAAAAAAGTCTATCTCGCCCAGGCGCTACAGAATACTTTGACGAGGTACAGCTAACTGTGTTAAAAGTTTAATAAACAAAAATTTAAAAAAATTTAAAAAATTTCCTAAAATTTTTAAGTTTTCAAAAAAATTTCAAAAAATTTTCAAAAAAATAAAAAAAATTTAAAAAATATATTTTTTGGTTTCGGATTAAGCGGACTTTCGGATTACCGAAGTTTGGATTATCGGGACTCCACTGTAATGTACAGTTGACTCTCAATAATGTGACACTTACAAGAACAGAGGGATTACCAAAAAAATAAAAAGGGCTAGGTAACCTCTTTGACCATTATCTATTAATGAAGCCTTTTTATGTGTTCCTTGACTATTAGATGTTAAATGAATCAGTTAAGAAATTATTTTACAAAAAAAAACATGTTAATTTAATATAAACAAAATTTTAATTAGGTTTTAACCCTTGAGAACAGTTTTAATTTGCAGACCTGAATTTGTTATCTACCTATATTCCAAATTTCATTAGGCTTAGCAGTAGGGTGTGATGACATCGAAAAAGATAAATTAAAAATTTTCTTGAAAGCGGCCTTGGAAAATTGCACTATTTTGGTCAAATCTGTTTATGCTTGGTCGATTACTTCAACTTATTAGAAGTAAGAAAGATCATTTCATTTGAAAGATGTTTTAAATTTGTGAATAGGTAATCATTAAAAGAATTTGATTAAAAGCATTACAGTTGAACCTCGTTAAAACGAATTCCTCGATAAGACGAATTTTTTTTAATCCCCTTGACACTTTCATATAGGTCAATGCTAAAAACACCTCTATACAACGTAGTAATTAAGTTAAAAACCTCCATAAGACGAATTTGTTTGTGACATGGGCTAGGACTGATTAACCTCTATACAACGAATATTCTTAGCACAAAACCTCTACAAGACGAACGTGACCTCTATAAGACGAATTTATCATAATCTTAACCTCCATAGTACGTAGTTTTCAAAACAAACAGAAGCTGGTCTCAACATGAAACCCCCACCCATCCCTCCTCCTTCCTCAATCATTGTTTGGAAAAACCTTGGAGCAAGGAGAAACCTCTATAAGAAGAATAACAGCAGCATTAAACCTCGATAAAACGACCCTCTTTATTAAGAATACCTCTATTGTACGAATATTTCCCGTACCCCTTGAAATTCGTCTTATAGAGGTTCAACTGTATCTTATAATAGGCTTATCTAAAATGAGGTAATACAAATCTCCAATTTTTTTTACTTATGTCTAAAATTTGTCTTTAGATGATGATGTTGACTATTTGATTACAAAATATTTCTAAAGACGTTTCCAATCAAATTCAATCTATCCATATATAAATCCCAAAGTACCCATGAACTTTTGAGAAAACTACAATTCACACCCCCTTAAACCATTTACTTAAAATGTTTGTCATGACGAGAAACCTTGGGCAAAACTATCCACTATTTCATAAATCGCCCTTTAATGTCGTTTAATGTTCTTTTCTAAAGGGAACTTTCCATATACCTACTTAATGTAAAAAATACTTCAGCTGTACTTATTTGTATGTTATTATTTCAATTTATTACCTTAATAAAATCAGATGTGATTATTTGTTCTGTTTTGTTTATTTCAGCTTAACTCAACCAATTAATAGTTTTATTAATCCTTAAGAAGTCAAACGGGGCTAAGCCCGTGTAACAGCTAGTTTTTATAAGTTAAAAAACTGAACACTACAGCATGTACAAAATATTGTATTCATGTCCAATCCTCAAAAATAATCCAACCAACTTACTTATTCTTGCAGAAAGATTAACTCGTTTATTATCAAGATCATATTTACAATGTGTGTTATCATTATGACTCATATTAGCTGTGTATCACCCAGCTTCTATTTACATTCCTAGATACAGGTTTTAGACACCACAAACATGTGGCTTCGGAATGTTTACCGTATGAAAATATTCAAGTCTGTCTTATTCGACAATAACATTAACACTCCGTCAGTCGCACCTATCTTTAGTGAAATAGCGCCACCGGTTGCACTCATGGTGGAAGTAAATATTTGAAACTTATAATGCTTGAAACTTAACATATATTTACTTCCACCATGGGTTGCACTAGCCTATATCCCTCAGATACATTTTTCCTAAAAATTTTTTGAGTAGGCCTACTACTATGTAACAACCTCTTACTTCATACTGTGTAAGCATTTCTCAATTAGTAAAAAAAATAAAGGGAACATTCATTATTATCAATGATTTCTTTTCGATATACCGATTTTTTTCTATCCAATATATTGATTATAACAAATTGAAGGTGACAACTACGACAAGGATACAGTAAATAAATATTGTTCAGTATTAACTAACAATAAAAAAATATTATAATGAAATAAAACTGTTCTAAACTAACCTAACAAACCAAACTTGCTGTAACATTTCAACATTCCGTTTGATAGCCTATTCCCCATATGCATTTTCTGTTATCAAACGGTATTTTGAACGGTATCTTAGCTTACAGCAAGTTTGGTTAGTATGTTAGGTTAGTTTAGAATAGTTTCATTTCCTAATCCAATATAGGCCTATGGGCTATTATTTTTGCCTAAACAAGGTTAGTTCTTAATTTGTATTTTAAATGAGTTTTAAGATATTAAAACAGAAGGAATACAGATAGATTGTGAAGTAAAACAAAAATATTGATATATCAAAAAAAATCATCGATAATATTGAACGTTCCCTTTAACAGGAAAGTACCAAAAAAGTTGTCAGACCATACTCGTTCCTGTATCCATTAAATACAGTTAACCATACCCGTCACACTCTATGTAAAATTGAACGTTTTTTTTTCGCTGGGTAAAAACAGTTTTATTTATTGCTATATTTAATGGAATCAGACTTCCTAATTAGGTACCTAATTTTTGTGTGATGTAACAGATATATAGCAGAGATATTCACAATATTGAAATACACTGTGTGAAGAGTTCATACAGTAACTAGTAAAATATTAAGGTAAGTACAGGATTCAGCGTTTTGCTATTTTACACGACTTCATGTATTTTCTACAAAGGTGATGCTAGAAATTAGCATTTCGCCAAAAAATATGTTATGACACGTTTGATAACTGGGGGAACAGTTGAACATAATTTATAAATAAACTAAGTTAGTATAAGTTAAACTCAATTTGTTAACTAAACAAGTTATAAAACACTTCAAAATTAGGCATATGATTTTTAGATGGGGACGCTACCTAGGTATTACCTTATTACCGTTTTTTTTCTCTTTCTTTTCCATGCACTCTAGCACGAGCCCACGATTGTTTTTCATATTACTTCATGCTAGACCTAGGGATTGCGGCATTATCACTTAGGTAAAATCCATTTTTGATTTGGCGGGTTTGAACCCGGGTCCTCAGGGACCGAAGTTTGCAAAGACACTTGATAGAGTTGGGTACTAGCTTATTAAAAATTTGAATTGGCACTGTAGTAGCCTATAGCCCATAGCCCAAGCTACTTTGAGATCTTGCTAGCCTAACCCTAGGCACGGACCCTGTAACTCATGCTGCCTTGTTCTGTGATCATGAAACGCTGAACGGAGTTTAAACTTATCGTGGTTGTCATAGATTCAGAAGTGAGCCTGCCAGGATGTAATGGCTGTAGGCTTAAACGGTGAGGATTCCTAATCTTGCAAAGATGGGTTTAACCCTCCGAGTGTCGTGCGTCGCTGCAGCGACTCACGAACACTGTTTACGGCAAAGGCTCTATGACTGACAAAATCGGATTGAACTGGATCGAGTTAGATATCGTTCTTTTCGTTATATTCTAAGCTTTCTCCAGAGGTCTGTCTCTAAGCACTTTATGTTCTCCGAGCCGATCGTAATTGTAGCAGACAGCTGACGTGCGTATTTGTAAACAGGTTAGTTAACCTCGGACCGATGACTGATGTGTTTTATTATGTTTATCATTGTTTTGGTGTTAAAAATCAAAAGTAGTGATATACGTGGTGCATTATAAGAAGATTTAAGTGATTTTGAAGGGTTGGTTGATGATCCTGAATAAGTAGGTAGTGATATTGATGTAAATTATCAGCCAGATTCCTAGCTATGGTTAGGCTATGCATTCTTAGCTAAACGCTATGTACTGAAATCTGTTTTTTGCCCATAACTTATTTATTTCCAAATCAACTTCCTTATATTATTATATATTTGTAATCCTCATAAAATTTAGAACAAAGTGGCTATTTTCAAATATTTATAGGCCTATAATTTATAAAATTTCATTGAGCGCGAACTTATTTTTTTTTCAATTTTTCCAAAATAATTTTTATTTTTACCTAAAAAAAATTTTTTTAAACAAATATTCCTTAGGTTTTATGTATGATATTGAAGCCCATGATTTTCCAAACAAAATGGTATATAGAACAGTAGAATTAACATTGTTTTAAGCTTTTCAGGTCCGTTTTAATAAAACCTTGCATATGCGCCAAAAATAGGCGGACATTAAGGCCTAAACTATGGACACTCGGAGGGTTAAAGTTATAGAGTTATATTAAGCTGCTTAAATACTAGCATAGACAAATAGAATAAATATAGACCGTCAGCTGTGCTGCGGTTAGCATAAGTTCTGGTGTCCACCACTAGGTTTGCCGTGTAGTTACGGCGTACACCGCCGCAGCGTCTGCTGGTCACATACGACTCCTGCGCTCCTCGCCTGCAGTGGTGTGCGCCGTAACTACACGGCAAACCTAGCGGTGGGCGCCGGAACCTTCCTTTGACAGTCTATATTTATTCTATTTGTCTATGATACTAGGTGCATATTTAAACCCTAATATAAGTGAAGGATGAGTGTAGAATGTTGTGAGATGATCTGTGTAGCTTTGTTACTGACTAAGATTGGCTGTTTCATTAGTCAGGATCATTTATTTAAAGCCCAATGATCAGGGACAGCTGGGTCCAGTTTTGTACCATAAAAAATACTAGTCTTACTGACTTTTCTCAGTATCGAACCGGCGACCTTTAGATTGATAGGCAAGCATTTTTAACCCATTCACCCAACCTACTCAAACTGTAAAACTACAGATCCTACCTTAGCCCAAACACACATAAAAATTACTGTACAAGAAGGAAACTGCATATTAACACAGAAAACATACTACTAACTTATAACCCAGAATGCCAACCGCATGGTAAAAAGCGTTAAGTAGCCTACTTTGAGAGAGCTTTGCCTGTAAACCAGCGTTGCTAGCTGGCGCTGCCTACGAATTGACAGGCAAAGCTCTCTCAAAGTACTTAACGCTCACACGGTTGGCATTCTGGGTTATAGTAATATGTTTTCTGTGATATTAGGCCTAACTTGTTTTAAATGCAGGATGTGGCATGAGAGACCAAAGTAAAATAAATTGATGTAATAAACCCCATATTACAATACGGTAACTAAGTTAGGCTGTCTTGAGTAAAAGCTACACTTTGATCTTCAAAAAGCAAAACAATAGAAAACGGTAATTTAGGGCAAATGTTCTGTATTGGCCTACTTCCAACAATTAAAAAGGTAGGTCGTGTTTAATGTGAATTCATGACTGTATTAAGTGTTTGGAAATTAGGTTAGATTATGAAGGTAGGCTACTGAAAATTTAGGTGTTAATGAACCGACTTAAATTAATTTATCTTACCTTCAGACTTTTTTTGAACAATTTGAATGGTGGGTAAAACACAAAAAATAGGCAAAACAGTTTCTAAAATGCTAGAATAATACTTTGAAACAAGTAGCCTAGCCTAAAGACCTATTAAGTAGGATCTAACTTAAGTTAACAAACTGTATGTAGTAAGTTATTCATATAATAAGCTTGTCAAACTTAAACATGATCTGTGTTAGTTAGCCCCTGAAGTGCTCATTGTCGCGATAGAGACAATATTCAGTAAAGTGTATAACTTAGTGCTTAAGTCGCGAAAGTGAGGATTTTTCAACGATTCACAAAAGACGTTTTATCTCTGTTGTTTATTGGCTTAACTTAATACTTTCTTATGAAATGGCGACCATACTGATGTAACTACGCTATTTTAAGCCAAGTATGAATGGAGATGAGTGGCCCCATCCTGTAGTCTTACATCCAAACCACATTTTTGCCTTGTAGGCCTAATTAACGAATTGGTATATTTAATCCTCAGGATTGTACTGCGGAAGGTCGTAGTACTTAGTAGTGCGGACATTAATCTTAGTGGCAGAAGTAGGCCTAAGGTATGTTTATTTATACAGCCTAGCTTAAGCATAGAAGAGGGAAGATCGTTCCAGTTTTATCTGCATATTATTAGTTTAGTGGTCGTTGAAAAAAATAAATGTTGGCAGACCTGATTTTCAGCAGGTGATTTTTCGGACACCTGTTGTGCATGGTGTTTGGTTACGGTAGGCTATGTTGTTCTAAGTTAATCTTTGTTTATCAACTGGGCAATTATTTAATATGTCTACAACGCGATATCGTGTAGTTTTTAGATGTCTACTAACAGATTTTTTCACCCTGAATCCAAAAATGCAATCAGTTTTTGTCAGAGAGATTCCCAACAAGTGGCCTTAAAACGAAGGTTAAAATTACGAATCTAAGGTTCATTGAGCGGTACACTGATGATAACATGGCGTGGTCTGTTGACTGAGGACTGAGTGAGGAGGAGAGCAAACAGCTGTTTATACTCGACTTAATGCGGAATGAAATTAATTTCTTTTTGAAACCAAATAATCAGTTCTTATTTAGGCTGCATGTGAGGAAGGTAGGTCGGGTTTTAAGCAGATTCGTGACTGTATTAAGTGTTTTGAAGTGAGGTTAAATTAGGAAGGTAAAGGTTAGGTTATAATGAACCTGGGACTCATTAATTTATGCAACTTCCAGACTGTTTACGTATTTTTGATATTGTTATTTCATTATGTTTTGCCCACTATTTAATCGTGCAAAAACAGTCTGGAAGTTGCATAAATTAATGAAGCGGTTCATTATAACCTAACCTTTAACTTACCTAATCTAACCTCACTTCAAAGGACTTCATACAGTCACGAATCCGCATAAAGTCCGACCTATCTTCCTCACATGCCTTTTCGTTTTCTGACATAAAATGTGATTTAAAAATTAATATTAAGGTTGGGTTGGGTTGGGTTAGGTTAGGTTGGGTTAGGTTAGATTAGGTGCGGGAACATAAGTTAATTTATTAGTTGCTGATACATGAAATTATGCACTGTGGCACGTATTCACTTTTAGGCACAATGGGATTATGTACTATGGAATTATGCACTATGGCACGTTCATTAACAGACGTAGAGGGTTGGTTTGAGGACGATCATGTCGGCAGTGGCCTAGGCTATCTTCTATTACTGATATATTACGAGAATAAATTCTATTTTTTTTTAAATTTATGTTAATGTTATTAATAAAATAAAATAAAATAAAAATTTTAATTTTTTATATTCAGAGGATAAGTTAGGCCTTACAGTGTAGACATTTGTTTGGATTGACATTAAAGCTACGGTGAGATTAATTACTAGGAGCGTTGACTATCAATACAACTTCAGTATCCAATAATAGTCAATGCTACGATTTTCATTTAAAAGTGGTCTAAAATTAAGCTTAACTTAGGCCTAAGTTAGGCTATATGAGTTTAATGCTTGCCTTCAATGTTGAAATGTCTTCTTTGTTGATGAAGGTAGGCCTAGTCTAAGGTGATAGTTTTTTTATTTTTACTGAAATGAATACTTTTAGCCTAGCCTATCTAGCCTACGTTGTATGAATTCAACGAAAATATAGGCCTATATTTGACTCCAAAAGGCTAGACCCTTGCACCCAGTCAAAGTTAAGCCCAGGCATTCATATTAAAGTCTGGAAATAAAAATAACCCTTAACATCTACAGTAAATATTTGCCAAAATAATTATTATTACAAAAGTTGGATGATTTAAAAGAATTTTACTAGACTGCAAAGCCACTTCGCAGAAGATAAAGGATGACTCAAATCAACGATGGCTAAAAGGTACTGTTTACCTTGACAGCTGTTTGTGAACTTATCTGGTTTTATAGCTCTTAATATCCATACTAACACACACAAGAAGTTTTAATATAGGTGTACTGAATCAATGTACTTAAATTTCAATGGAAAATACGGTCATACACAAGAAAAAACTGTAAAGTCAAATTATCGCAAACAAACACACAACTTGGTCAGTCAGTCACACTTGTTAGTTCCTCTCTTGGGCTCTTCTCTCTATCCTCCTATCAACCCCCTCTTTCTAACACGAGTCATTCTTTTTTTGACGTTTCTCATGGACAGACAGTCTGATGCACTTTTGTTTGTTCTTCTCTCATGCTTCGCATAGAGGTTCAAGGGTGAGTAAGGAGGAACAACATAAAGAAATAATTAATTAGCTTATACTATATAATCAATGCTTTATTGAATTAATCAGAAAAATGATGATATTACATGATACAACCATAGATAAAACATACTCCCTTGTGTTGGTTAGTCTATGATACAACCAACTAACATAGTTTGTTTGACAAATAAATGGTTGAATCACGGCCGCCTTTAACTCCAGGCCGCGGCCTTCGAAGTGGCAACGTCGCAAGTGGTGAGGTAACAACGGTTTTGTTTGGAAGCAGCGGGGACAGCTCACTTACTCTACAGATCATAGACTATACGAGCTTTGTAAATAATATTGAAGGTTCACTTGCACTACAGGCTCGTATACTATACGAGCCTATCGAAAATAAAAAAAAAATTAAGAGGGTTCACTTACTCTACAAATCATTGTGCCTATGAGCCTCGTGTATTATATTTAAAAATACAGTAGGAAGGTTCGCTTACTCTACAGATCATAGTGACTATGAGCCAAGCTTACGAATTATTTGATAATTCAGGAATCGGCTCGTATAGTATACGAGCCAAAATAATGAATAATATAAATTATAGGAATAGGCTCGTATACTATACGAGCCTGCAGAAAAATATTAGATGGCTCACTTACTCTACAGTTCATTGGCACTATGATCCGTAGAGTAAGTGAACCCTCTTCAAAATATTAGATGGCTCACTTACTCTACGGCTCATTTAGCTACTCGTTGCGCGGTTTGCGTTCGTGAAACTCTAGGCGCTATGCTCGGCTTCGACTGCTGCGACTGCCTACATAAGTGTATTGCATCACCTCAATTATTTTTAAACGAAATAAATATGTATGCACAAGAAAATTTATTACATTTTTGGACTGAATACTTTAAAAATGGAGGGAGCATGAATTTTATCTTTAATTAAATTAAACGTTATAGAATAAAACATATTTTGACTAATATCAGGTTATATAATACACACTTGTATGATCCAGAAAGAGAGCTACAGACAAAACCTGTGGTCCGATTTAGATTAAATTTTGTATCTGGATTTATCCACGAGTCACGAATTTTTTAAGCACGGGTTGAGAAATAATGGCAAAAATTTATAAAAAACAGTTCACCAGTTTAAAATATTTCTCAGTTACTGTGAGTTGCAAAAAAAGTGTATACCAGAAGCATTTGTGTACACAGAAAATATAGAGGACTAGATGTATACAGAAGATATATTAAAAATACAATACGCACACAACTATCAACGTTTACATATGTAAAATTAATGAATTTGTTGTATTGAGTATTTTTAACATTATAACGATGCCTTAATAAAAAATATTTTTGAAGGAGTTCTAGGGTGTTAAACTATATTGTATTTATCTTTTGTGGAAGATTCTGTCCACGATTTATGATTGCTAACAATTTAATACAAAGATTTAAGTCTCTGTACGTGAAGACTAAAAAACACGAAACAAACTTTAAAGTGATAGAAAAGATTTGCTCAGGAGCTGGCGTTTGATACCTTTTGGGAATAAATATAGCCTCTACTTCAAAGGTATACATGGTGAGGTAGTCTCTGGATCACTAAATTTAAGCTACTGTAAATGGTTTAAGTTACCTGGCTTCGTCAAGTGATCCTTCTTCAGTAAACTACTATATGTATGGGATCACTACTATAGTTTCGGACTTGAAAATAAGTCCATCTTCAGGTTAACAAAAACGTCAATAGGTCATCTAACCAATTTGGTTAGATGACCTATTGACGTTTTCTGAAGATGGACTTATTTTCAAGTCCGAAACTATAGTAGTGTAATACTGAAGAAGGATCACTTGACAAAGCCAGGTAACTTAAACCATTTAGCTTAAAGGTATACAAGTTGGTTTCACACCAACATTTCATGCACATATGAAATCTATATAATTAATACGCGAACACGAAGTTTGTCGGTTGAATCCTCCACCATTTCTTAACTGATTTTATCCACTGACGTCTCATTGGAAAGAGCGTGTTGCGTAGATTTGCAAACTGGCCTAAAATTTTTGAAAAGGTCCCTTCAGCTTCACAGTGGCTTTTTAAGTTCCCATGTTATCCTTACGAAGAACATAATATTGTTTTCCTACAGTCACCCGACAAAGTTGGCTTCCCTGTACTGTTTATAGTACAGAAAGCTGCTAATTGCTGCATATTTATACTTTGCCGTACGGTTTATACTTTGCCGCACGGTTTATACTTTGCCGCACATCAGGATTCCAACCAAACAACACAAAACAGCGTGGTTTTATTATGCACGTAATCCGTGTACGCTTGGAAATAGGTTGGCAACACTTAAAGATAATAATACTATGAATAGCTGATTGACTATTATAACTACGATTTAACCTGTCATTTCGTGTTTATAGTTTTGGTATTTCTGAACTTTCTGGACTTTTCTTTTAAACGTTTTTAAAACATTCCTACGGTCTTAATAAACAAGAAAATACCTTTAAAGCATTTTTTTTAGGCGCGGAAACCACTTCAAATTACAAAAACATACGGAACTATATTCTCAAAAGACGGAGCACATTTCTTGCCGAGGAAAAATAGCGGAGTGATACGGACCACGGGTACTACTTTCTCCAGGGCACCATTTGTGTAATTGTGTTGCTAGCTGAACCTAAAAACGTGTTGTATAGTGTTTGAAAGACTAATTATTTATGTTTTATAGTGACTGTAGGAAAAATATAATGTGTAACACGAGTGAAAAAGGCCTTTGCTGCACTCGAGATCATTCCGCACTCGCCTGCGGCTCGTGCGTAAACATTGCTCTCGTGTGCAGCAAAGTGCCACTTTCACCACTAGTTACACAAATAACTATTACATCAGCTGTTTAATTTAATTGTGTTCTTTGTTTTTCAATTCAACGAAACGCATTGGTTACATTAACTGATTTTGTGGAAATTAAATATCTATCTATATATTAATTACGAAAGCCGATTCTTTGCGTCAAAATTGTGGGCGACTGGGTAGTCGTAGAACGACGGGAGAGAGTTCAAATTAAAGGTCTCGATCCTGTGACGGCGGGAAAAATAGAAAAAAATGAAATTCCCCAAATTTTAACACAAAATTAGATATAACCTTTGACTTAGTCAATAATATAACGTAAAATGTTCTCCATAAGAATAGCATTAGAAGCCATTTGTCTGTTGATTTTTGTTTACCTCAATACAGCTGATCGTGATTTATCATTAAGCCAGGTAAGCAATATTAAATTTGGATTTAACTCATTTGCCAGTAAATTCTGCAATAACCAATAGTATTCTATACTGTATACTATATAAAACCAGAGATGACGTTACCTACAATTGAGACTTTTTTCGTCATGTCTTAGAATGTTGGAATTAATTTTACTGTGCAATTTGCAAATTTGTGTATTTGTATGTAAATTAGCCAAGCGCATGAAATTTAGTAGAATCGTGGGAGATGGTTAAAATCAAAGTAAAAGGAAGTAGAATGGCTGAAACATTTAAGCTTTGGTTTTTTTAAACATATGTTCACGAAGTTTACAAAATTATTTTACTTTGATTACATTTCTTCACATTTGTAGGTTATTGTTGTGCTGAAGGAATGTTTAACATGAAATAGCCCCGCATTGACTAAATAATCAACAAGATTAGTTAGAAAACTTCTGTTTTGTTTTTATTTCAAAACATATGTTGAAAATTTAACCAAAACTTTTGTTTTAAATTTCATAACATTTAATTTGACACGTAATTGTAGTGTTTAATCTATACTTTTTATCGAGTGGAATAACCTTAACAGTTACTCTAGAAAAAAAAACCTGGGAATAAAATTTGAAATAGGTTTGTACAGGCAATACATATATTCCTTTCATTATACTATAACAAATTCCAATGGGTGGAAAAATAAAATTGTTTGGAGTAGATTTTAACCAGGTATCTACTGTCTGTTGCTCCAAGGAAAAAAGGTTAAAATAATATAGCCCAACATGCATTGTATGTATAGATAGTAAAGAGAGAATCTATAACAGTAAACCCTAGAGGTAGTTTCCGATTCTTTATGTTTCACTAACCAAAAATATGTACCTATATCAATGCTGATGAATTTGTTTTCTTGATTGGTTTCATTAACATGATAATGGAACCCTAACCAGTGGCAAAAGAGTTAGTAATCAGTCAATGATTAGCTTTTTTAACTGTAGGCTAAATAAATAATATAAACGGTAAAATGTTTTCAAACAAAATTTACATCCATTGAATGAAAAATAATATACTATTAACATGACTATAGCTGACATGGCTTAGCTGTCGGCTGTCTGTACATTGTGTCATAACAGCAGACAGCGCTATGTTATGAACTTAAAAATTATAACGGATTAACAAATAAATACTTTACTATGGTCTTAACAAACTATGAACCCACTAACGTTTAAATTGGCCTATTTTAAAGAGTGTATAAAATCAATCACAGCTTTAGGAGGAATACCACCACATAAGCTGACACAGAGAGTAGTTTATATTTTATGTTGATCAGAAACGAAACTAGGGCAGCCTTTACACTAATTTAGTTGTGCCTTTACAAAAGGAGTAGAGCTATAATATTAGAAATAATAACTGGGCCAGGGTACTAATATGAGTACATGTAGTATTGTAGCACTGTATCGATTCTGACACATAGATAATTTTATTCTGAGTTTGTTTAAATATTACAATAGTTTGTTTTACATTTGAGCTTTTTAGGGAATTATGTCCCTACAAGCCACTAGTTGATCAATATAAAGCCCAAAGTACACATGAACTTTTGTGAAAACTACAAGTCACACCCCCATAAACCATATACTGTACTTAAAATGTTCGCCATGACGATAA